TCGGGAGGAAAAGCCTGAGAGCATCCATCACTCCGGGTTTGGCTGAATTGTTTCTGCCCTCGCATTTCAGGCACCCATTTTCTGTCTTACTGCAGAATTCAGCCATTTGTTTTCATTTCAGGCGGAGAGAGGCTTGGCAGCCAGGTGCTCCCATTGGGATATTGTGCTGAACGTGATGCCAACCAGCTTGTCGTTCCCTTGGTTTCCAAAAGCCACTGTTTCCCTTCTCTACCATCCTGGAAGCCCAAGAGAAATGGATTTCTGTGGCAGTCATGCCGCCTCCGTGTTGCTGGAGCTGCTGATCTTCCCTTGGTGCCATTGTAGTGCAGCACGGAGCATGGTGTACCAATATGCCAAGTTGCACACCGAAGTTCTTCCCTTGCATTGCTTTTATGGCCTCAGATGGCAGTGCAAAATTGGTTTTAATGCACAGGGCCCAAGAAACAAGAGGAAGAGAAGTGGCAGCATGTCTGCCAGGTTTGTAAGGCTGCGTGTTGTGAGTTCCAGGAGTTGCCTGGATACAGCCATCCCCCACACAGGTCCTTTAGAAATTTAGACGTAACTTGAGGGTTATTGCTGATAGAATTAGCTTTCTGCAGGGCTTTTGTCAACAACTGCCATCCTTTGAGATGGCCTTGCTCTTCTGTGGAATGAGCCTGATCCTGTAGCAAAGCTTAAAGCAATTGGGATAATGATCTTAATGACTGGGATTTGGGATGCTGAAGGATCCTGTTCTCTCGCTGGGTGGCTGGGAGCTGTGCTGGGAGCTCCCCTCCTGCCAGCTGTGCTTGCTGGGATGGGGAGCTGAGCTGCTGGAGCCACGGACAGGAAAACAAAAGCTGGCAGAGCTGCCGCCTGGCTGAGCTGAGTTAATTGCATTCACTTCTTCAGCCCAGTTGGGGCTCTAACAGCAAATGTTCTACCTCATTAGAAATAATAACTTGTAGTTAATAACTTATAATATGGCAGATAGATGCCTTTTGCTGCGAGTGATAGCGCTCGCTTCAGACAGTGCAAATGATGAAAGGAAAAGGCATGGTTATTAAAAAGATGCCTTCAGATAAATCTCAAGGTTCACCAATTTAACCCATGCTTGGCTTGGACAGCAGCTCTGCTCTACTTTATTCAAGGGCAGTGATGGAAAATGTTCGGAGATGTGCATGGCCAGGCTGTCCCACTGTGACCAGATGAGCATGGAGCACGTACATGGGGGCTGGCATCCCATAGAGTTCAGCTCTGCAGCCCCTGGCATCTGCAGTGGTGGAGGGGCAGGGGGCTGGGTGCTGCACATCATTGCATGGCTGCTGGGGTGGAACAGGAGGAAGTTGTTATAGGAGGAAGTTTTTCCACATGCAGGGTGGTGAGGCACTGGCACAGGTTGCCCAAGGAGGCTGTGGATGCCCCATCCCTGCAGGCATTCAAGGCCAGGCTGGATGTGGCTCTGGGCAGCCTGGGCTGCTTTTGGCAACCCTGCACATAGCAGGGGGTTGGAACTGGGTGAGCACTGTGCTCCTTTGCAACCCAGGCCACTCGATGATTCTATGAACATGTGTGGCACTGTCAGCATGGGCAGGAGGAGGAATGGAGGCTCCAGCTTCTGGTGGAAGCACTGCAGGACAGTCTTAGGTGAGGTGGTCCAAAATGCTCAGGATTTTGGCATGCAGTGTATCAGCCAAAATAACATGTTTTGCTAGCAGAAGAGCAGCTTCTGTTTGGAAATCTCTTCCCTCTGGCACTGTGAGCAATGTTATTACATCTTGTGTTGTGTTTTGCTTTTTTTTAATAATAGAGAGTTTTCTTATTGGACACTTGTTCCTACTTTTCAGGTACATTATTATGATTTTTATTCAGCTAGAGCTTTGTTAATGTGCATTGCAATCAGCGGCTGCTAACAGCCCTGAAGAGCACTTTGTGGTGGAAGCCCACGTTTGGAGTGATAAACAATGCTCATCTCAGCCTTTTCCTTTGACAAACGGATGGCTGCGCAGCATTCGGAGAGTTTATTCCAAAAGAGAGCTTAAATTTTATACTGCAAATGAATATTAATAATAGACAAGTTAGTAGAAATGCAAGCAGCCCATTAATATGATGAAGGCATGGAAAGAACTGTCAGTATCATACCTGCTGATGGATAACTCCTTGGGAAAAAGAAGAATCTGTAATGACAGAGCAGTTGATTTTTAGAGGTCTTTTTCAACAGTGGTGGCTCTATGAACAGAGGGAGAGCAGAACATGAGCATGGTGCTGGGACCTGGTAGATTTGGTGGGAGCAGAAGGAGCTGCACCTGCTGTAAGATGGCAGGGCTGCTCACAGCAGAGCATAGATTAAGTATGGAGACATAGAAAACAGCACAGTGGTGGCTGTTCAGATAGGCTGTCATCTGCAGCAGTGCTCCTATGGGAAAGCCTGGAAATAAAACTGCTTTGAGTTTTGGTGTTCACCCCTTTGGATGTGCTGTTTGAGCTGAAGTTAATCATGAAGCAAGGAGGAAGGTGAGGTTCCCTGCTGTGCTCTATTTGGTGCCATGCCCTCCCATCTCTTGCTGTTGGAGTTTGACTCTTGCTATTGGTGGCACAGAAATAGCTTTTCCATACCTGGCATGTATTGAGTACAGGCTGACTGCTTGCAAAGAGGCACTGCCACACTCGTAGGATTCTGCCATAAGGAGCAAGGGAGGGAGAGCAGAGCAATGCAGTGGAACTGAAGGAAAATCTGAGAACCGATTTCTTGCCCAGTGCCTTAACAGAGCACGTTCAGCACCTCCTAGCATCTTCTGCTGAGCTTGACAATCATTCCTGGTGCTGACAAGCGTATCAGTAGCTGCAGCTCCTCTGGGGGACTGCTGAGTAATTTGCAACCTTGGGTTTGTTCGTGAATAGGATGCATTGAACTTGAAGAAAAATGATACACCTGCAAATATTCCTCTCTCAGATGAGCTTCCATAGGGTTACACTGATGCAATAAAACATGGATTTTCTTGCAGAAGAGGCCTGGAGCATGGAGGGTCAGGTTGGGTATTAGGAAACATTTCTTCTCCAAAGAGCAGTCAGGCAGTGGCACAGCTGCACAGGGAGTGGGGGGTCACCATCCCTGGGGGTGTCCCCGAGCTGTGGGGATGTGGCACTGAGGGACGTGGGCATGGAGGAGTGGGTGAGGGATGGACTTAGGGGGGTTCTCAGGTCTTTTCCAATCAGTGATTCCATGGTTCTGTGATTCTATGATCCTGTGATGCAGCTCTGCAGCACAGGTCCAACTTTGTATACCATCAGCATAGTTACATTGTCCTTCTCCAACTGTCCTAGAAGAGCTCTGGATTTGAAGTCATTTGCCATCTAAAACACAGGTCATGGAGTCAAGCAGCCCTGGCTCTGTGGGCAGCTCTGAGTGCTGCTCTGCCATGTGCACGCGTTGCTGGAAGCACTCTGTCCTAATGAAGGCTCCCTTGGGGTCAGTTCTAGGGGAGCAGAAGGGAAAGGGCCATGCTTTCCCTGTGAAAATTCAGCTAATGAACTGCTGCAGGATAAAGGCTGCAGATGGCAGAAGTATTCACTGTAATTACCTTCTTTTTGGTAAAAAGGGTGGATTTTTTCTAAACCCATTACGCATGTGTTTGCTTCCACTTCATAAAGAAAATAGAAACAAAATAGAAAAAGCATCATGAGGTGTGAAGTATTGTCCTGTTGGTGACAGCAGGGATGGGCTGGGTTTGAAAGCCGCACTAGCAGCACTATTTATAAGCACTGTGGGCAGTGAGGGTTGCATCCAGGGCAAAATCTTCCCAGGTTCACACTTTTTCCTTAAGGGATAAAACTGTGAGGTTTGTGTCCTGTGGGGTATTAGCAAAGCTGAAACTTTCATCCCGATAGTGGTAACATGCAGCATAATAATGCTTTCCTTCTCTGGCTGTGTGTCATCAGATGCATATTCGGGCCCCACTCCCCTTTCCTACAGCCCTGGTAATGTTTTTCATGTGCTTTCCAAAGTTTCCTTTCACTTGCTCCTGACTTAAAGGCACTGCTGCCAACCAGGCAGAGTGTGTGATTGTCCAGGCAGATTTAACGTTCTGAGAATAAAATGTCCTTTTGTTACATCAGGAGTTGGACTTGATGATCCTTACAGGTCTCTTCCAGGTAGGAATATTTTATGATTCTATGATGGTAAGATAAAATGGCTGTGTAGCCACATTTCTAGATTGCTGTAGATGCCATTTGGGAAATAAAAACAAGAAAACCCAACACAGCTGGAGATCTCCAGCTGCCCCAGTCACTGCTTCCCTCTGGTTCTTCAGGTCAGGCAGGCAGCCAGGGGCCAATGGCCCAGAGGAGGAGGAGAAGGCAAGAGGGCAGGGGCAGAAGGGAAGGCAAGGGCAGCGCTGGGCCCTTGGGTCGTATTTCTTTGTCTGTGTTAACTTTTGGAACCTTTGATCTCAGCCTGATCACTATATATCTGTGATCTGTGGGCAGGTTGCCAGCGAAGCACTTAAAGAGAAATAAATGCGTTTCCTAACCCATGCTCACTGCGTTCCAATGGAGCACAGTGCACCAGAATGGGCTTGGTTCATTCAAGGGATACATAAAGTGTGAGGGCTGGTTTTGTGCATTTTGGTGAATATGATGAGTATGTGGAGCAGCCAGGCCATCCTTCAAGATCGCAACAAGTTCAAGTTAGCAGCTCCTGCTAGCTCAGTCCTGAGGCTATCAAGATAGCCTGTGTTTTGCCTTCATCAGCAGAGCCTTCAGAAGTGGCCATAAGAACAGACATGAATTATTCATACAGGCAGATCCCTTTCTCTATTTTTTGGCTCCTCTCCCTTCAAGAATGACAATTTAATAGCAACTATGTGAGAGTGGTAGACATGCCAGTGTCTTTTCTTTCATATGTTTAAAAACATCAACTCTTTTTTTTTTTTTTTCCTTTTAAAACATTCAAAAACCTCCAAGGTTTGTGCACTTCCTAAGTTGTGTATAACGGATGCACTTTTGTGCCTTGCTGCTTGCAGGGATGACGTGCCAGGCCAGGACGTCCTACACTGAGGATGAGGTGCTGTGGGGCCATCGCTTCTTCCCGGTTATTTCCTTGGAAGAAGGGTTCTTCAAAGTCGACTACTCGCAGTTCCACGCGACGTTTGAGGTCCCCACGCCGCCGTACAGCGTGAAGGAGCAGGAGGAGATGCTGCTCATGTCCTCACCCCTGATAGCGCCCGCTGTCAGCAACAGCAAGGAGAGGAATAATTCAGTGGAGTGCCTGGATGGTCTGGATGAAGTTGGCATAAAACTACCTTCCAAACTGCAGAAAATAACTGGCAGGGACGACTTCCCTAAAAAACTCCTCAGGATGAGCTCCACCACCTCGGAGAAGGCCTACAGCATGGGCGATTTGCCCATGAAACTGCAGCGGATCAGCTCAGTCCCTGGGAATTCAGAAGAGAAACTGGTGTCCAAAGCCACCAAGATGATGTCGGATCCCATGAGCCAGTCTGTGGCTGACTTGCCGCCCAAGCTCCAGAAACTGTCGGGCGGCGGTCGGATGGAAGGGAACCTTCCTCCAAAACTGAGAAAAATGAATTCGGATCGCTTCACATAACCCAGCTACCAAGGCCAGACTGCCCCAGCAGGAGGATGGCCTTCCAGAGCTCCATGTGGCTCCGTGCCCTGTGCTGGCAGGGCTGTGGGTGCACCAGCAGGCTGCCCGGGGCCAGCAGAGCCGTCTGCCCCCGGCATGTAGAACCACGATGCGCATGCAATAATAGTGTGCAATTCCTGCATCTAATTTTCTGGCATGGCTCCTACTATATTTATACTGTATAGTCTGAAAAATGCGTCCAGGGGTGTTGCATTCCCTGTGTATTTCTTAAGAGTCAGTAGCAGGTTGGGACATGGGAGTGGGTAACTGTCAGCATAGATTATAATTTGAGTTCATTTTCTTTTTTTTTCTGACGTGGGTTGTGATGTTACACACTGGCACAGGTTGCCCAAGGAGGCTGTGGATGCCCCATCCCTGCAGGCATTCAAGGCCAGGCTGGATGTGGCTCTGGGCAGCCTGGGCTGCTGGTTGGTGACCTGCACACAGCAGGGGTTGGAACTGGGTGAGCACTGTGCTCCTTTTCAAGCCAAGCTGTTCTATGATTCTATGTTTTGTTCAACAAAGTAGTTACAGTGCATGTGATTTTTATTTTATTTTTTTTCTTCTCCTAAAAGGAATTGTATTCATTAATTCCTCACGCCAAACCTGCTGGCCTTAAACTAACTGTTGGTTTACATTTTGCTTTAAGTTCTTGGGTTTTCTTTTCCTGCCTCTAGACTGCTGGGAAAAAAAGTGTATTTAACAAGATGCTGTTGAGAAAAGAAGCTTCTATTGGTAAGGCTAGGAAAAACTATAAAGAAATTAGTGAAATTGGCCCTTTGGATAAAATTAGAATCCTTCCCTCATTTATCTCTGTACAGACAACAAGCTTGGTTTCTCAGGACAGCTGGACATGACAACAGTTGTTATTCAGTTGTTTCTGAAGTCAGCCAGGCTTCTGCTGTGGGTGCTCTGCCTCAGGAGCAGAGCTGGGCTCCCCCTGAGCCCCTGTTGTGCTGGGGCTTTGCTCTCCCTTACTCTGAGGCCCCATCCTGCAAACCCAGGTCCCAGTGGTGGTTCTGTGAGCCCACATCTTGCAGCCAGAGCTGTGAGAGCTGCTGAGTCCCATGGTGCTGCTTTCTCTTTGGTGAGAATGTGTGCAAAGACGTTAACCAAGGTTGACCCTGTGGGTTTTGAAATGAGTAATACGTTGTGTAAATGTGTGGTTTGGTATCCTCCTGTGGCTCTGTGTGGTTTTGGGGTTTTTATCCTGTTTTACTTGTTCTCTGCTGCTGTGCCCCAACACCTGTGCTTAACCCTGCCTAACACCAGGCTGTTGCAGTGCCTGGGCTGTGCTGAAGGACCCAAAGCAGGGTGGCTGTTTTGGAGCTGGGCAGTGACAAGGCTCTCTGTCTTGCTTTAGTGGGCATTTTGGGTGAGACAGACCAATAGGCAGCACTGGCAGCATGGCGTCATGGTGTTGGAGGCAAAGCACAGCTGTGTGGTGTTGGAGATGTACAAGTGCAATGGCAGTTGTGTAGGGCAGTTCTGGCTTGAGAGCTCTGGGCCACTGGATGTGAATGCTTATGCTTGCTCAATAAGGATGGATCTGCGCTTCATTGGGAGACAATAGTTTGGTTTGGGTACAAATGATGGTATGAGATGAGAAGTGAGAAGTGCAATATTGCTGGAAGGGTTGGCTGAGAGTCCAGAAGGGCTCAGTGCTTGGCCTGGAAGTTGCCCAGTGCTCTATTAGCTGTGCGCTCATGGACTTTATACTAACTAAAGGTTTTTTCCACTGTTTGTGATGATTTTTGAGTGGCACTGCATGCTTTTTACACCTCTGGCTGTACTGAAATACTTTGCCTGTTGTTGTTAAAGGGAACTGTGTGTGTGTAGCTCCCTGCACGCTGATGCTGTGCACTCAACAACTGATGAGCAGAATTCCAATGTTGCAAGGTAAGAGCTGAATGCTTTACCCCTATTTGCTAACACTTATTCAGGCCATGTTGTAGACAGAGTTTTGTGCCATTTGTAACTCCTCCACAAGACCTTGGCTGAGTGAAAATGGCCACATACAAAGGTCAGGCATCAACATTAAATATGCTACCTCCAGTCCAAAGCAGAAAGCCAAGGACCCTGAACCAGTTTGATGGTGGCTGATGAGTCGTAGAACCATAGAATGGCTTAGGTTGGAGGGGACCTTAAAGATCACCAGTCGCACCCCATGCCATGGGCTGGCTGTCCCCCATCTGCTCAGACTGCCCAGAGCCCCAGGCCTTGGCATCTCCAGGGATCAGGCACCCATCGTGCTCAGGGCAGCCTACCTCCCTGCAGCCCTTCCTGACACAGCAGGCTTTGGCTCAGCCCCCTGCACCCAGGCCTCCATATGGACAGCCAGCATGCCTCCTTACCAAGAGCAATGGGGTGTCCCCAGCCATGGCCATGTGCTGCACAAAATGAATGTTAGGGGCTGAGTGGGAGTGGTGGCAAGGTGCTGGGTGCCTCTGCACCAACACTGGGACAGCGCTCTCGTGTCTGTTGAACTAATGCCATATAAAATACTGAAAGCGACAGTTGATTCAATGCTTTAAATAATTCTCCTGTCCTTGTTGCACACAAGTTTTCTGAGGCTTGTGGCTTGTATTGCAATGTATGATGTATGTTAACGCATCTTCTGTTACTGAGAGTGAATGTAAAAACATGGATGGTTGGTAACTGTCTTTGGTTGTTGGGTTCAGGAAGTTATTCCTGGTGAACATTTCATTGTTACTGATATGGCCCCTTTTCTGTTTTTCCTGAGTGTTTTCACCCAGCCCTAACGCTTGTGCTAAGAGAAGTGTAGCTGTTTGTTCAACTGCACAGCCGGTCTGTGTTCTCTACTGCTGAATTTATGCTTGAATTATATTGTAAATTGTACATATTCAAATTAGAATAAACTAAAAGCATTTTCTGGCATGCACTCTATAACTGTATAAATGTACAAGTTTATTTGAATAATGCAAAACAACAGACTCTTGTATTCATTAATACTGCAAGCTCAGTTTTATCTACAGCTGTATTAAACTTTCAGAATTGTTCAGTTTGGTGATGCTCTGGGTGTTTGTCTGTCAGCCAGTCCCCTTTTTTTTAACCTTCATGAAGGGCTGCGTGTCCTAGAGTGGCTGCTGTTATATTGGTACAGGGTATTTCTCTCCCCAGAACTCCATAGTGGCTGTCAGGTCCTTCCTTGCCCATAGCAGCCCTTCCTCTCTGCTTTCTTCTTTCTTAGCAGGAATTGCACAGTTTCTGGGAGTCAGCCCTGCTGCTGGGGCTAGAAGTGCCACAATGGGGGAATTGAAGCTCTGTTTAGCATAATTGAATTACTGAGTGTGGCAGAACAAAAAGACATGGCAACACGGAGCTGTATCAATCACGCCGTGCCGCCAGACGCAGAATACATTTGAATTTATTTCCTCAGCTGTGTTGTAGAACAGCAAATTTGCATTGCTTACTGGGAGAAATGGAACTGGAATTGTTTAAATACTTGGAATAAAGATGGCTGGGGAAGAAGGGCAAGAAAAAAAGAGAAGTGCCCCCTTGTAATAATAGCTTGAAACAAGTTCATGCTCATCATGTGTTGGGGCAGAGAAGAATTTGATTGCTTTTTGAATGAGATCTAAGGGCTTTCTTTTGCCTGCAGCAGCAAGGGAACTGCACCAGGGCAGGACTGCTGGGTGGCTGACAGCTGGAGCTCAACTGCATTCACAGCGTCCTTAAAGATGTTGGATGGCAGTGTTGCATTGCTCCTGAACGCGTGCGACCTGGAGCCAGCCAGCAGGGCTGCCAGGAGACAGCCAGAATGGGAAAGAGACGGAGGATGGGGAAAGAGACAGGGATGGATACAGAGCCTATAATTTCTATCAGCCTCATTTCCATATGCCTCTAAGCACTGTTTAGCATGAATGCAGCACCAGTTTTGTTCACCTGTTTACAGCCTTCCCAAGCATTCTCAGTACAGCAGAAATGCGCTTATTTCCAAAACAAACATCTTCCCCTGCAGGGTGTGGGCTGGGGATGCACAGATTCCCCCTCTTTCCTTCCAAGGGATACAGGATGCTAACAAGAGGAGGGCATCCCATGGCACTGAGATAAGCAGGTGTGGCATTTGTCTTTGCTCCAGCCCACCAGGACCTGCCCTGCTCAGCCCAGTGCTGGGCATTAAAGCTGAGGAAGGGCTGAGGAGCAGCAGGAGAGGAAAGTGAGGATGGGCTGAGCTGGTGGCTGCAAACTGTGCGCTCAGTGGAGCTTCCTTGGGTGTGTGCCCAGGTATGGCACCACTTGTGTAAGGAAATACATGTGTTCACATAATATATGTGCATAAATTCCCATGAGATGGCTGTGTATTTATAATACATAGCAAACAGCAAGATAGCTTTTTGCTACTTCAGATGTACTCCCCTTTTCCAACTGCTTATGTTTATTTCTGTCCAAAATGTTTGTGGTTTTTTCATAAGCAGCTTTTTGGGCACTGTCTGGACTCATTCCACACCAATGGCATGAGACAGTGCTCATGGCAGATGGATGAGCGTGCAGGGCTGAGGCAGCACAGAGCAGAGCAGCATTTCTGCTGAGTGAATAACCAGGGAGCTCTGTCTCTTGGCATCCTGCAGCAGCTCCCTGGGAAGGTTCCAGCTGTCCCTTCCTTTGGCATTCTTGGAGCCCTCTGGCAGTAGCAGAGGAAATAAAAAACAAATGACACATCTCTCAAGGTGGGGGAAAAAAATACGCCCTAAGCTGGGATGTAATTGGTGCTCTTAGTTTTATAGGGAGCACTTTTCTCTCAGCCGTTAACATCGCCAGTTAGGTGAGCAGTTACTGCTGTGCAGGCTGGTTTTCTTGCCTTATTGGCTCCCTGCATCACACCTACAAAGCCAAGGCTGTCGGCCACCGTGTGACTGCTCACGGCCCCAGATCACATTGTCACACATTCACAACAGCCTCAGTTGCCATTGTCACCAATTCAGAACATCCCCAATTCG